ATCAACTCTTTGATCAATATAGTTCCTTTGTAAAGACCATAATACCAATGTGCTAAACAACCACTATGTATTTATGACATAATATTCACCTGATTGAGATGAGTAATTATTTCAAAGTGCTAAATTAACATTTTAAAAATCTAGGCACATGCCACAAACCAAATTAACTCTTATTTTTTTACATGATAACAACAATAATTAAAAACAAAACAAAACCTCTCGCACTCTGACTTCTGAGTCACCAAAAATAAAACCCTCCATCACCAACCAAGAATTTCAAATTTTCACTCTACTAAAAGAGCCACTGGAAAACTTTCTTTTTTCTTCCTTCACCCCTTTGCCATCTAAATTTTGTTAACTGGCAATGAATAAGACAAAATTTGAAACTGAGACACCCACCCTTCTTTTTGAGGATCAAAGAATTGTAACAAGCAAACCATGCTAGTTCTTTGAATAAAAAAAGTGCCATCAGATCTGTAGACCAAGTAAAATTTGATTGCTCTCCAATTACTGAAGTCTCTTCCTTTCTCAAATCATATTCTCCAACAAAGAACTCCTAAAAATATTTTATATCTTGAAAACTATAAGTCTATAATCAATTGCTTGCACAAAAATTTTCAAGCCTTATTTAAATTCTAAAAAATTATAGTATGAACTATGAAGAGAGAATAAAATTAAACAAACTGGATATAGTTTTACAACCAATCAAAATAAAGATATCTTAATTGAGATTTGAGAATCTAAACGTAACTTTCTAACCTAATTAATCCTCTAAATCTTCAATAATCTGTCAATTTATTAAAAAAAATTCAACACAACAATTCCAAAAGTCCAGCTGATCCAGTGATTTCGCTTAATTAAAACCGTCTCCTGAGCCAGATTATAAAGCATTGCAAAAAAAAAAAAAAAAAATCGAAACAATCTCCACCAATTCCAGCATTCCAAACAAAACATCAAATTGCGAAGAACAAAAACAATAGAAAACCAGAAAATTGAAGGGCGAATCAGGGTTACCTAGAAGAAGCGATACTGGAAGTCGAAGAGAAAAACGAGACGGAGGCCCAATCGTGCTTGGATCGAATCTGATACTCTCTCAACTGCTCTGCTAGATTCGATCTCGTAATCATGGCCGCACCTCTTCTTCCTCGGCCTTTCCTCTGTTATGGTTTTGGAGCTCGAGAAGTCGTTAACAATGGAGATTATTGCAGAGCAGGAAACGAATTGGAGCTAGGAAAAAGAGAATAGAAAGTGCATCGATATTCCTTTCGAATTGGCCTTCGTTGCGTAGACCCTCTCTCATTCCTAATTTTCAATTTTTCGTTACTTTTAATTTATTTCAGTGCAAAAAGGGGTAGGAGAGGGTGATTGAATTAAGTATCCTCAATCTTTCAACGTCACTTGTAAACTTGCCCTTCACCTTCAAAATTAAGTAAGTTGGTCCTTACATTTCTAAAGCTTTGTAAATTGTAAGATACTACTTCCTTCCCTTCATTTTTATTAGATATAGTTTTTTAATAAAATAGAGATGTAATAATTTATTGATAAATTTTATATTTATTATTAATTTCATTACGTATCAATTAAATAAAACTTATTATTTAATATATGTTATAATTGTCTTTTTAAAATGAGGGTGAAATAAGAATAAATGCATTGAATGATACTTTAAAAAGAAAAAGTGAACAAATAAATTTGAACATTTTAAATAAAAAAAAAACTAAGTTTATTAAAGTTAAATAGGAAGAGTAATACTTTCTATCAATTATAGTCATTGCAAACATTAAACCATCATTTTAAAAGTCCTTCATATGAGTTCTTGGAGCTAGGAAAACTGTAAAGCTTAGAGTACAATGTAGGTTTCATTTTAGAGTTAAAATTTTAAACAGTATCAATGACTTGAGTTTAATTTAAGACTTGAAGATTACCAAATTCTTAAACTTAAAACCTAAGTGCTCAAGACTCAAAGGCTACCCAATTTTAAATTTAAGATATAATAAGCTAGGATACACTAATTAATTAAAAATTTTAAATAAATTATTTTTTTAATATAGAAAGGCTATATTGTCAAATGTTTTGGGATCCTAATTCCTAAGTGGACTCTCTTGGTTAAACTACTAATTTTTTAATATTTTTACATTTGAGTTAATTAAATTATGAATGAACAAAGTTATATTACAAAGTTGATAGATTTGCATTGCATTGCACCTATCAACATGTAAAAAAAAAGAAGAAAAAGTCAGAGTGGTATCAGGACCAAAATTGCTAAATGCTGAGGACTGAGAAGAGTAGTTTACCCAATTTGAAATTCAAACCAGCCGGCGGGTTTGACGGGTTGCCCATCTTATAATTCATTCAGAATTCAAGACAGTTCGCTTCCCCGGGACAAAGTGGGGCCGGAGTTCAATGGGCTATTGGGCTCCAATGCTTTGGTAGAGAAAGGTATCAATGCGCCCATGGTGGCTGAAGTAATTAAATGAGGAGGAATTAAGAGAGAGATAAGAGTTGTTATTTTTATATAGTTTTTTTTT